TTGGAAAGTAATGTAATGACAGACAACAAGAAGCGGATTACTGCCAGTCGCCAGAAGAGGGCAGAAGCATGCAGAGAGCACGATGGTCCAGCTGTTATATTCTTAGCATTACATCACTTTCCAATTTTACATTTTACAACCGCGTTTCTGCATGAATTTAAACCATCTTTTGAATTTAGGTAATTAAGAAGATTCCTACTGGTTGTATGTTGGCCTATTTTGTAAAAAGTGGCTGTGTTTACAGAAAAAGTGGTTGAAAAATGTTTATTTACCTATTTCACGTCATTTAAATCAGTCAGTGTCGTATTTTGTCGGGCGATAATTGTAACCTACAAATTTTACAGACCTTCCAACGCCGTTAAAACAAAAAAATGAAATAAAAATATAAAATTCGTATTGTGTTTTAAAAATATCCAACTACTTTTTTATACTTGTCAATATATAGTTCATACAGGGAAAACAACCCAGTGAGAAATTGCCAATAGACTTTAATCGGTCCAATATCGGTCCAATATTGGTTGCCGTGCTGGGCGCCCATTGACTCCCAATATTGGACCAATATGGGCTGATGCTTGGGATGTAACGGCATCGCCAATCATCGGTTGTCAATATTGGTCCAATATTGGCCGAATATTGGCAACCAAGAGAAAAAAATTTTTTTAAATAAATTTTTTTTAATTAAATAATAATAATAAAAAATTAATGTTTATAATTTTTGTTTAATATATTTATTTGTTTAATTATTTATTTTTAATAATTCATGTAAATAATAAATAATTTATTATTTATAAATTATAATTATTTAAAAATGCAGCAGCTATTAGAAAATAGCATTCTGCAAAAAAATTCTATCATTGAAAAATCAATGATAGGCGAGAGAAATCCGCGTCTTTAAATAGATTCGCAGATGATAGACAAGAGATATCCGCGTCATTAAAATTAAACGGATTCGCAGATATACTCTGGTCTCGCGACGAATCTCTCGATACTTATATACACTGGAGTCGCCGTGTCAGTTGCGAGAACGGTTACAGCGTCCCTCTTGCGGCAGAGATAAGAATTGTCACGTAAACTGCTAAATCGCTTTACCGACCGCCTTATTATACCCGCACTTTACGTGACAATTCTTATCTCCGCCGAAAGAGGGACGCTGTAACCGTTCTCGCAACTGACACGGCGACTCCAGTGTATATAAGTATCGAGAGATTCGTCGCGAGACCAGAGTATATCTGCGAATCCGTTTAATGACGCGGATATCTCTTGTCTATCATCTGCGAATCTATTTAAAGACGCGGATTTCTCTCGCCTATCATTGATTTTTCAATGATAGAATTTTGTTGCAGAATGCTATTTTCTAATAGCTGCTGCATTTTTAAATAATTATAATTTATAAATAATAAATTATTTATTATTTACATGAATTATTAAAAATAAATAATTAAACAAATAAATATATTAAACAAAAATTATAAACATTAATTTTTATTATTATTATTTAATTAAAAAAAATTTATTTAAAAAAATTTTTTTCTCTTGGTTGCCAATATTCGGCCAATATTGGACCAATATTGACAACCGATGATTGGCGATGCCGTTACATCCCAAGCATCAGCCCATATTGGTCCAATATTGGGAGCCTTTATTGGACCGATGATCGGTCTCTTGGCTCCCAATATTGGACCGATATTGGACCGGTGAGAAATTTCTCACTGGGAATATAAACATTTTGTGAATAATTCTCACTCTAAATTGTGATAAATTATAAATTCTTATTACATCGAGTTATTACAAAAATAAGAATTATATAAATATACGACTAAAATTTTTAATATTGTTTATTCAAATAAGTTGATAGTTTAGAACATATGTTCCATGTCATAAAATTTAACATTCCTAATATCATTTTTAGGCATAAGAAATACGTGTTCTTCACAATACTAATATTCGGATTAGATATAATACCAAATTTCAGTTTTAGTGATCTGCTTACATCTTACGTCCGATTCCAGTGATAGTTTATGCCTAAATCTCAGATTTAATCTCTAATTTAGAGATTAATTTTTTTCCGTCTAGGCATATTGGATAGAAGAAATACCTGTTTTTTTGCTTTTAATTTGCAATTGCTTAAGGGTCAGAATTCGTGAAATTTTCACAGAAAATAAAAAGTATTTTTTTTAAATCGAAATGTTGAAAAAACATTTCTATTTGGCCTTAAGAATGTGTCCACCAAAAAACAGGAAAAAAAATTATTTTTTATAAAAGTTATTGCAAAATTAATTTCTTAGCAACTTTTTAAACAAAATTTTATTTCTCCTAAATGAATGAACCGATTTAAATGAACCAAGCGAGAATATCAAGGGGATAAAATATACTTTCGTTTAGAATTAGAAAATTTCTAAAAAGTTTATTTTTTAATAATTATTTAATAAATTTTTTATAAACAATTAATTTTTTTTAATGTTCTGCGCCTTTTAAAAATTTGAAAAAAATATTAACATACACTTAAAACTATAAGAAATCAAAATCCGTTGAGAAAATTTTGGAGCGACAATTATTTTAAAAGTTATAAACAAATTATATTGAACGGAGATGCGATTTTGATGATTTTCAGAATTAAAACATTATTTTTAACTACGAAATGAACAAAACACTGTCAAATTAACATTTTTATTCAATTATATAACCATAAAAATTGATAAAAATGATCAAAAACTAAGTTCAGCGTTGATGCACAACACCGCGCCAATATAATTTGTTTATAACTTTTAAAATAATTGTCGCTCCAAAATTTTCTCAACGGATTTTGATTTCTTATAGCTTTAAGTGTATGTTAATATTTTTTTCAAATTTTTAAAAGGCGCAGAACATTAAAAAAAATTAATTGTTTATAAAAAATTTATTAAATAATTATTAAAAAATAAACTTTTTAAAAATTTTCTAATTCTAAACGAAAGTATATTTTATCCCCTTGATATTCCCGCTTGGTTCATTTAAATCGGTTCATTCATTTAGGAGAAATAAAATTTTGTTTAAAAAGTTGCTAAAAAATTAATTTTGCAATAACTTTTATAAAAAATAATTTTTTTTCCTGTTTTTTGGTGGACACATTCTTAAGGCCAAATAGAAATGTTTTTTCAACACTTCGATTTAAAAAAATTACTTTTTATTTTCTGTGAAAATTTCACGAATTCTGACCCTTAAACAAATTAAAAATCATTTAACAATTTTTGAAAACTGTTGACGCGAATCGATTCTGGGTAAAAAATTAAGGAATTTTAGTTTGGGTCATTTTTTTGTCCAAGTCGTATTTTGTTCACAAAATTGTTTTAAACAAATTATGCAGAATAAATATGGTGTTTCATTCCAAGCGAAAGCAATTGGAAATTAAAAACAAAAAAACAGGTACCTATATAATAATTTTTTACAATTTTCCTATGAATCTAATTGTTAATTTTACTTTAAATCCATTTCTTTATTCTTGTAATGAAACACCATTTATGCATCATAATTTGTTTAAAACAATTTTGTGAACAAAATACGACTTGGACAAAAAAATAATCCATAGGTACTAAAATTTCTTAACTTTTTGCACAGAATCGATTGGCGACAACAGTTTTTAAAAATAAAATGTTTTTATTAATTTGTTTCAACAATTATTGTTAAAAAATTGGAAATTATAAACAAAAAACCTCTTTTTTAAGTTTGCCTGTTAATCTAATTTTTAATTTTTTAATGCAATGATTAGTTTCTTCATAAAACTTAATGGGTTAAATATTGAAATTAATATTTTTTAGCATTTGTTAATTTAATTAATATTGTTTAAATAATCGATTATTGAATAGTTATATTTTTATTCTACTACTTTTAAATGTAAGTTGGTTATATTAAAATGATCTTGTGTAAAAAATGATGACTTCCTTGTAAAAATTAACAATATGAGGCATTTGTTAATTAAAATTGTTTAAATAATTTAAAGGTGTTATTTCATTGTTTTAACTTAAGAATGAAATATGTTAAAAGGTTTTATTAGTAAACTGCATAAAAAATAAAGAATTACCTATAAGATAAACAATTCTATTATTTATTTGTTTATTAAAAATACTTAATTAATTAGGGTAAGGGTACCCAAGATGGCCACCCATCTTTTGAACGACTGTAAATAAAATTTAGGCGATTTTTGAAGAACAGATGAAATTTCGACCGTTTTTAACGATATTTCATTATTCGACGTTTGTTAGGCAAGCTCGTGGTTAATTCTTACGTAAGAAGGGGGAGGGGGGGTCCGAGAAATCTTATGTATCCTTACATGGAGGAGGGGGGGGGGTCAAAATTGCCTAAAATCGTCCTTACGTAATTAATGAATGGCCCCAATAATATTACGTCACATATTAAAAAATAATTTATTAAGCTTCTAAATTTATCTTGTTTTTTATTTTTATTTCAATTACAAATCTATGAAAATATTTAGATTGAAAAGAATGTTTCTTTCATTTGACGATTAAAAATGATTGTAGGTATATTCGCTTAAAATCAGTAATTTGAATGAAAAACTTTAAACGCATTTTACTCATAAAGTTGAGTTTGGTTATAAAGTCCCTTTTCTCAGATCTCAGATTTAGATTTAGAGAGTAACATACATGCGAGTAGAAAACTAAGAGCGTAGTATCAATGGTAATGTACCGTAACAAATCTAGGAAACTTACATAAGGTATGTTACCAACCTATTAGTGCTCTAACGATAACTATTAAAATTTCTGCTTTTCCTCAACTAAATGATCTCGCTAAAAAAAAGATTTCTACCTGTTTTGTACAGTTCAAAAACTTTCTCTGCCTTATCGATAATTTTTAACATATCCATGTACTCGAACGTTCTCTGTCGCCGGATTCAAATAACTACTGCCCTTTCCAGCGAGTTGTATCGACGTAGAGTCGCAGAACATCACATTTATACGCATAGACTGCCTTGTAGGCTCTTCAGTCTCTGCTTGGGACGTGAAGGCGTGAGCATGGGGTTCGAAAACAACCCACGAGGTGCATACGATTTTAAATAATTACAAAAAAATTAACTTACAAAAATACAAAAACACGGAAAAATAGCGTCAATGATTTGAACAATTTAAAAAAAACACACTTACCCTACAAATCTTTAATCATTTTTCACTTAGAAATAATAATCTATTAAAATTCGCGCAATAAATAAATAATGAAGAATCTATTAATGAAAACAAAATTAAAAATTTATATTTTTTCCATATTTTAGATTTTTTCTGAAAATTTTTAATTATTTACAACAAAAATATTTTAAAATAAAATAAATTTTACTATTGAAGCTCAATGATCGGTGCACACAAGCACAAAATTCACGCGCAAACCAATGGTGTTCGTGAAGCGAATAATTATGACATTCTGAATCGTCGCTAAAGTGAACGGGATTTATGTGCGAGTGCTCGCACTACTTAGTGGGTGTTGAAGAAATTAAATAAAAAAGGAAAGAAAAGAAAATACAAGTCAATCGCTAAATCTCCGGGATACAATTAAAAGGTAAGTGAACTGTCGATCGCTTCTCATGACCACTGTTTATTATATATGCATAAAAATCAATTTGGAGCATCATTTATATCCACAAATGTACGTTTTACAATTTATATGCAATTGCAATTCATAATTATCCTTTGCAATCATGCAGAAGTTATTAATCTATTTACTTTTTATAGACTGTGTTTCAAAGTGGCAATACTATTTACATAGCATGTGTAAATAATTAGATAAACATAAGAAATATCAGTACTATTACAAAACAATGCTTTATCATTATTTATAATTATCAAGCAATCCAGTAAAGGTGTTCTACATGTTTTACAAGTATTATCTAGCCAAACAAATCTTTATAAATAAACTGACATTTTATATTCAATGGATAATATATTTAAAAAGTTAGACTTTAAGAACAAAAATGCATTGTTCAAAATGCATGTTTCAAAACATATTAAAATTAAAGCCAATTATTTAAAAAAAATTAAATAATATAAATTAATGCCAATAATTAAAATTTTTTTAAATTAAATACAAAAACACATTTTTAAAATTGAGGCCTTGGATCCAATAACTCGCCCGACGCTCGAAGACACGCGCTAATACCAGTCGGGTAGCAGTGAGTGGCCCAGAGGCGCTCACTGCTCACTGACTGGCAGTTGCGCGTTCCTCCGAGCGTCGGGCGAGTTATTGGATCCAAGGCCTCAATTACTATCTTAATAAATAAATCAAAACAGTGAACAAAACTACTATACTATATTGAAAAAAATTGTCAAGGTTAAACTGTTACAGTTAACGAAAGTTTATTTCAGAACCTTTTCATGGTCAAAAGATGTAAATTACAACATTTTTATATACCATAATAAAAATTCCTGACACGCACAGATTTAAAAAAATTCTAAGCTGCGACAATTGAGTTGTCTATTTCTTATTTTTTAATATCGTAGACATATTTATATTTTCATAAAAAGAACAAAAAACAAAAGAAAACTATTTGAAAGTTTCGCAACATTACTAATTGTATAATTCAATTATAAACGCGATTAACTTTAATCGTTTCTAACTAAATTATAATTTTACTCATTCACACCTATTTTAAGTAGAAATCTCTCTGGAACTATGACGGAGTTTAACAACGGCATGATACTGACTCATCTTCGATACTGACATTAGAAAGAACGAAATTTAATTAAATGTATTGTACTTTAAAATTTTAAAATAAAAATTTAATGTAACAATTTTTATATTTTTTATTTTCTTTTAATAAATTTAATATTCAAAATTTACTTCGTGTACTGCGCACGAAAGATTGCGCCTAATGTTATTTGAAAGATAGGTCCCTTTCACCGTGGAGTATAACATATATATCTATATAAATAACAAGTTGTTCATTTCTTGACCATAGCTTCCTCAATGTATAAAAATTGCGGTTTTGCAAACTTTTGAAAAACTATGTACAAAAGGGTTCGTCCAGAAGATTTGTTAAAAATAAAATTATATAAATCATTTATAATTTATAAGTTGTTATATAAATATTTGGTGAAATTTACACTTTCATTTGCCAATGGCTTCTTTTTTATGATAGAATAATCATTTCAAAATATTAATATTAATATTAAATAAATTATGAAAAAAATACAAAATTTGAATTTTTTTTTAAAAAGAAAAATATTTATTAATTTGATAAATTTTGATAAAATATATACTTTGTATACATCAATCGATTCGTTTTCTTGTCAGGAATGTAATTTTGAGAATAATTAATTAAAATATTAACAAATAAAAAAATTATTTAAAAAAATACAAAAAAAAAATTTTTTTGAATTTTAAAAAAATTGTATAAAAAAAATTTTTGTAGATATTTTCGAAAATCCTTGTGTCAGATTTTAGGTATTAATGACTGCAATAAACCTGCAAAATTTCAGGACAATCCATCAAAATTTGTCTGAGATAATTTGTACACAATTTTTGTGACATACACACACACACACATCTGGACATTTGCTCATAATTGAATATACATATGTTTTAGATGAAAATGAGTCCATATAACCTTCTTTTGAAAAATTGAAAATCGTCACCAATGCAAAGCTTCCTCATGAGGAAGCAAAATTAAACTTTTGTCTATACATTGCTTAGAATTTGAAAATTCATGTTAAATTTTTCATTTTGAGTAGTAAGAATTCCAAAAATACCAATAAAAATAAGTATGTGTGTACGTATATGTCTGTTTGCAATATTTTGTCCGGAAATCACGCAAAAATGGCTTGACCGATTAAAACGAAACTTGACAGTCTCTTAGGTTAATACTAAAAAAACTAATAAATACTTAATACTTTAAGTTTGTCTAACTTAAAACCTTAGCTATATCCGATATTTTCCAAAAAAATTTTAATTAATTTTCTTTGATTGCATATTGTTTAATTTTTTATGAAGTTGGCATATAAAATCAATTATCATGAGTTTGCAAACAGTTTTTCTATTGAAGCGATACAAATGCTCCTGGCAAATGTGACCGGTCCGACTTTAATGTATTCGTTAAAATTAATATAATTTCCGTGTCCTGTAAAATTCGGACGGTAGTGGGGGTTTAGCGGGTTGAATCGCGGGTCGATGAAGAGTTCAATTAATTTATTAATTGACTATCGCAATTCGTCGACACCGGTTCAACAACGCGGCTACGCTCTCACGTGCCGGCCGAGGACACGGAAGGTAGTTTTTTTTGTAAATTTAAATATTTCTCATTTTTTAAATATTAGTTTATCATTTTTTATATAAAATATTTTTTGTTGTGTTTCACTATATAAAGTGTGGCCGTTTGTGTCCGTTGGAGTTTTGGGAATAATAAGGATCCTTTCTTAAAAAAGACATGGAGTGGAAAGGTCGAATGTATCGAAAAGTATCGAAGTAAAGAATGGGCAATGAGAATGTAAAATCTTAATAGAAGGGTGTTTTTAAAATTGTTTGTACATGTGAAGGTGGCGCTGCAGTCGTATGTTATTTAAAAAGAGCGCGAATATATAAATTTTATTTTTGTTAAGAGAAAGTACTCATAATAAATCTTATTTTTTGCATTTACTTGTATCGTTTGTTAATTTATTATTTTTGATTTTATAATGATATTTGTATATTTCGTTTTACATATTTGTGTCTGAATGTGCATATTTTATTTTGAATTATTTGTAATTTTATTTTCTATATTTTGAATGATTCCTGACGTCAGGCATACTTTACCTAAACTGTTGACTGATGAAATATAATTTTATTTCTTTATGTTGATTGATTGTATGTTTATTTCTATCATGTATTTTGTAGATTTTATGTAATTTCGTTATTTTATTCATTTATTTGAAATCTTTTATTTTATCATTTTGCTTCTTTTTGTAATTTTTATTGTCGCGGTTTTTATTTATTTTGTCAAATAAGAAAATCGTTACACTATTGATATTTTAAAATCTAAATTTCAAAAATTCCATAGTACGTAGGTATTATCAAATTTAACATGTAAAATAAAATATATATATATATATATATATATACAGTGAAAAAAATATATTTATGGTTCTGCCGTAAATATGGCCAATTCTCACATATTATATTGGTGGATATGTAACAGCCATACAGTATTGCTATTTCAGCTATACGCAGTGTAGAACAGCCATATGTATGCGATTAAACCCGCAAATACACACACAAGAGTCGAGTTATGTAGCCTCTGCAACCATATCTCAAACGATAAAGGAAAAATTATTATCGAGAATTTTATGATTAGATAAGCTATAACTAATTATTCACTCGACCAAGTTTTTCCGCTTAAATCCTAGAGAAATAGGAAAAAATTACATTTTTCAAAGGAAACGAAAAAATAATACAGCATTTTTGAACATTTTTTCTTCAGAAAAGTTAATACGCTCACTATATTTTTATCAAAAATTATTATTTATAAAAAATTAATAAAATATTATTACACAATTTAAGTACCCGAGTCGAACTTTTAGACCTGCTTACCTCCTTAAAACTGAGGGTTTGTAAGGATGTAATAGGATGAAAGCAGAGTTTATTTGCATTGCAAGTTAACTCTGATTACCTCCTGCAAATCCCTGGTTAGCGACAAATTTAGATGGTAAAAGGGGGAAAGCAGGTGTTCCTAGAACCTTATTAAATACTGCTTGACCCTTACTTACAGAATTCTTTCCTCTCCAAAAACCCTGGAAAAACTGCTCATAGCATATTTAAGATCATTTTTAACTAATTTTTATAATAACTTTAATTATTAATAAATGGCATTATTATTTAATGATTTTTACTTTTTTTTAAATTTAATCGTGACCAATAGCGAATTCATAAATAATGTTAGTATATATGTGGGGATTAATACATATCCATTTATATATAAAAAAAAATTTTAATTTAATATTTGTTAATTAAATTATTTAACGGTGTATATAATCATTAAATTATTGCATACTTATACCTATACAATACAGAAAAATTGGAATAAACGCAAACCTACGAAATAAATAAAATCTAACGCACGCGAGACTTGAACCTACGACCTACGAACTACGGACTACGAAACTAACGCCCTAACCACTATGCTACGGAACCTAACTGAACACAGACGCTCTATATTCAGTGACTTGTTGAGTGATTTAATTAAGCATTAATTGACACTAATACACTACAGCAAATAAATAAATTGTTTAATAATAATAACCTTTAAACATTCATAAATTAATATTTTTATTATTTAAAAAAAATGTCAAAACATTTCAGTTAAAAATAATATTTATAAATTTAAAAAAGTACATGTTTCGGTAACCTATTCGCAGTTTGAATTTAATTGTTGTTTACATTTTGGTTACTTAATCTTTTTTTAATTTTTCTTTTCAAATATTTTCAATTTTAAAATTAATTTATTGAAAATCTTCGAATTGTTGCAAAGAATTTTTTAAAAAAATTTGATAATAATAGAATATTCCTTCAAAGAATTTCTTTATTTAGAAAAA